AACTTTGTCACCAAGGTCATGGATTCCACATAACTAAAGCTTACCCTGCACTTCAACTTACCAAGTAACAAATCAGAAAGTTCAGCCCCTTTTTCAGCTCCTATATTTTATCAGCTTCAGACCTGTGGTGAAGTTGCATTATCCTGTCCTTTAATTGTACTCCCAGACTGCTTTTAGAACATAAAAGCCTGTACTTAGCAGTGTGTGTGTGTGTGTGTGTGTGTGTGTGTGTGTGTGTGTGTGTGTATGTGTGTGTGTCTGTGTGTAACAGCAACTAATGAAAAAAGAGGCCATGAATTTGGAAAACAAAACAAGGAGGGGTAGATGGGAGGATTTGAAGGGAGGGCAAGGAAGGGGAAATGATGTGGTAATATTATAATTTCAAAAAACAAAAGACATAATTGAAAAAACTAACCTAGCCTCATTACATCCATGGTCCTTGGTACTAGACACAAACCCACATACAGCTCGAATCTATCCCTGGCCCTCTGCGTTAAGCTTTCTCTCTCATCAATTCTCTCCAACTAATGGCATCCCTTCTTTTCCTTTCAGAGGCCCTGGTTTTCACTTGGCATTTTCCCAAATGTTTATATACTAGCTGTTCCTCCCAGCTTCAGGATAACTGTGTGACCCTGCCTAAGCAATGAGATACAAGCAGAAGTCTATGAAATTTATGGGAGAAATTTTGTTTTCTTGATGTGGGCTTTCTCTTTTGCGTTAATATAAAAGCAGAGGTGGTGGATGTCTATGCATGAATGTTCCTTCAAATATAAGAGAAAGGAATAAGATTCACAGAGACCTTCATAGCAACACCATGGAGTTATGTAATCAACACCATCAACTGCTTTCTATATCTATATGAGAAAAAATATACAACATACTCCAGATCCCATGGGAAAGGAGGAGCTATGTGCCTTGGTTTGGTGCATCCTTTTGGGTCTCCTCCTCAACTCTCCAGTACAGCACCTCACTGGATAACTTCTTACCTATGTGGTCCTTTCCTTCCAGATACAGCTGATATTCTAGGCATAGCATCTCACAGCTTCTGTTGACCTCTCTATCAAGAACAGACAGCATCTTTAAGGCCTAGATTCTTACACCCTTGCCTTGGGTAACTGATGGAATTTTCCTGTTTGTGCTTTCTCTCTCTCCTCCCTCTCCCTCTCCCTCTCCCTCTCCCTCCCCCCTTCCCCCTCCCCTCACT